GGAAAGATGACGAAAAATCGAGAATAACTATATATTCATTTTTTTTTTTCGATAAAGAATGTGGCCGAAAAAAATTTTAAACGAAAAAAAAAAAAAAAAAAAAAAGAGGTGGGTTTATTGGTAAGGAGGTGGATTTTTTAGTATAATCTGGTGTTTGTGCCTTCAATGTACAAGTGTATATTTATTTAATTGGCAGTTGATCATTATGATTTCCAACGCTCATGATTGGTTTATTGGTTCCTTGTTAATTATGGTTCTCTATTGAATATATATATATATATATATATATATATATATATATATATATATATATATATATATATATATATATATATATATATATATATATATATATATATATATTGAGAGAGAGAGAACCATTATTATTCAAGGAACCAAGGAACCAATCCAAAGCGTTGGAATTTAAAGCGATCAACGGCAAAATGAAGAGTTGTAAATTTTTATAAAGGACGCACATGTAACGGATTATAACAAAACCCAGTTCCTTTTTTTCATTAAAAAAAAAAATTTAGGCCTAGTTTTTATCGAAAAAAAAAATCCGAATATACCGTTGTTCCCGATTTTTCATCATCTTTTCATAGAAATCCATGATGATATATAAAAAACTAATTTTTTTTTCGAAAAATACCCACTTAATTTTCTTATTTTTTTCAATATTTAAACTTTTTTTATTTAAAAAAAAAAACTAATTATACCAAAAATATTAATTTTTTGTACTCTATTAATAAACATCAACACCGATTATAAAAAAAAATCAATCTAAACTGTAAATATTTCAATTTTTAACATTCACAATATGAAAATTTTTGAACAATTCAGATTCACATTGTGAATCTGAGAATGTTCACAAAAAAAAAAAAAAAAAAAAAAAAAAAAAAAAAAAAACCTCGATCAATGTAGATTCACATTGTGAATCTAAATTGTAAATATTTCAGATTTTAACATTCACAATGTGAAAAGCTCTAATCAGTTCAGATTCACACTGTGAATCTGATTTATTATTATTCACACTGTGAATCTGAGGAGATTCACAATGTGAATCTGAACAGGTTACAATATGAATCTGAACAAGTTCACAATGTGAATCTGAACTGAAATATCATTTTTTTTTAATATGAATATGAATCTATGTATAAAAAGTACAAAAAATATTAATTTTGATATATTTATTAATTTTTTTCTATAAAAAATAGACTTTAACTTTTTTCATTAAAAAAATGAAGTGGGTTTTTTTCGGAAAAAATAGTTCATTTTTTATATATCATCATGGATCTCTATGGAAAGATGAAGGAAAATCGTGAACAACGGTATATTCGGTTTTTTTTGATAAAAAACATGGCCTAAAAAAATTTAAACGAAAAAAAGTGGTGGGTTTTTTTTGTAAATGATGGATTTTTTGGTATAATCCGGTGTGTGCGTCCAATGTAAAAGTGTACATCTATTTTCTTGGCCGTTGATCGTTATGATTTCCGATGCTCACGATTGGTTTCATGGTTCGTTGGTTAATTATGGTTCTCTATTGAACCTCACCCTATATATATATATATATATATATATATATATATATATATATATATATATATATATATATATATATATATTGTAACATTCCAAAATTTATAAGTAAAATTTTCATTTTGAAGTTCATAAATCACAAACATCACATGTCTCAAAATCATCCAAAATACAAAATATCAGAGTAAAAAAATCATCAATGCAGAAATCATGAGGGGGAGAATGTTGTGTCATCACGTCGGTCCCTTCCTTTTAGTATCGGAGGTAGCTGAAACCAAAAACATATATGTAAGCATAAGGCTTAGTGAGCTTCCCCAAAATACTGTATATACCGTATACATAAATACAACAGCACGTAGTTGTGTCAAATCTATATCAACCATTAGGTTTGTATCGACCCCATAGAACACCAAATAGTTGTGTCGGATCTGTATCACCCCCTGTGTCCATATCAACCTCAAGCACATAATGACTACGAGCCCAGATTGGCTACATGCATATATTATACAATCACATAATTGCATACATTCTACACATACGAATCAATGGGACGACTTTGATGCCTTCAACCCACTAGTGTGGTAAGAAGACTCACCTCTAGCTAAAGGTAACTAAATCTCCCGCTCGAGTTGTTGCTAACACGACTCCTCTCACTAATCAAAACCCAAAGACGTCCCTAATTATATAGAACAAACACAACAAACTACCAAAACTACAAGAGGATAAATAGGAAAGGATATACAACAATAAATGAGATATATATACGATCTAATTTATAGTTCTTGAAAATGCACAAAATTGTGTTTAGCTTTTGTATGCCAAACCTTGCACAAACCATTTATAATGAACCAAAAGAGTCAAACTTATTGACCAAGTGTTTCAAAGGAAAAGAAGTAGCGCCAACGTATATCCAACAAAAGAAGAAGACGGTATTTGATAGGGAATAGGACTTGTTAAGGTAATTAACTTTTCGGGTTTTTCACATGTAGGTAATTATCTTTTTTTTGTACACATCTAGGTAATAAACTTTTTGGAACTGTTCACATATGACCATTATGACCTGCTGTAGCAGGTTACATCCAGCTACAGCAGGTCATAATGGTTATATGTGAACAGTTTCATCAAGTTCGTTACCTAAATGTGTACAAAAAAAAATAATTACCTAAATATGAACAAAACCAAAAGTAATAGTAAATTACATGAATGGTCCCTATGGTATAGGGGAATTTGTGCATTTGATCCCTAACTTATTCTTTTTAACTCGAATGCTCTCTATTGTTTATTTTTGTTGCGCGCTTAGTCCTTGTCTTACCTAAAAAGACTATTATGCCCTTATTAATTTATTTTTTTAATTAATTTTCTTATTTATGTTTTTTTTATATGTTTAAAAAAATTAATAGACCCCACATATCTGTATCTCCTCATCGTAAATCTGAAACAACATTTGAGAAATTTAATTTGGGTCCCACCGGTCACCATCCCATCTTACATCCTCTTCAACCTCTATTTTCTTTCAATCTTTAGTGACATGGAAGTCTTCACCATCCTTTTTTTTATCCTTCAACTCTGGCGAACAAACACCATAACCCACAGTCTCTTCACTTTATTGGGTTGTGGTGTTGGTTCGCTGAAGTTGAAGGACCGAAAAAGAATAGATGGTGAAGACTTCATTGTCATTAAATATGGAAAAGAAATAGAAGTTTAGGATGATGAAAGATAGAATGGTGAGGAGATACAGATATGTAAGGTCTATTAGTTTTTTTAAACATATAAAAAATACATAAATAAGAAAATTAATTAAAAAAAATTAAATTAATAAGGACACACTAGTTTTTTTTGGTAAGACATGGACCAAACGAAACAAAACAGTAGGGACCATCCGAATTAAAAAAAATAAGTTAGGGACCAAACGCATAAATTCCCCCAAACCACAGGGACCATTCGTGTAATTTACTCTTACTTTTGGTTTGTTCATATTTGGGTAACTATTTTTCTTTTGTACACATCTAGGTAACGAACTTGTTGAAAGTGTTCTCATGTAACCATTATGACCTACTGTAACCAGAGGTAACCTGCTACAGCAGGTCATAATGGTCATATGTGAACAGTTTCAAAAAATTTGTTACCTAGATGTATACAAAAAAAAGATAGTTACCTACATATGAACAAACCGAAAAGTTAATTACCTTAATTAGTGTTATTCCCGTATTTGATAAACAAGAATAATTGTTTGAGTTTTGCAAGTCAAACTAAACTTCTTGTTGAACAACACTAGCTAATATAGTTTTCATATGTCAAAATTGTATTCAGGTCCAAAAAACAATAATTATGGAACTATTTGTTAAAATAAGCATTTTAAGAATTTTTTAAAATAATAATCTTTTTAGGAAATCATTTTTGTATAAAATGATCACAACCGATCAAGTCTTTAACATTTGAGATTGTTAAGTCATACAATGTCATAACAAAATAATCAAGGACAAGGGTAAAGTAAACAACTTAAAACTATCAAAATTTAAGTTAATTATAGTGTTTTCTAAAAGTCTATATATTCTAACTATCCAAAGTTAAATTCGTTCTTGGTATTCACTAATGCTTATCCAGTTAAATTGGTTCTTGAGCCGAAATTGTATCTAAGATAGAGAAGACTATACAAGAAAAAATGAGCTCATTTTAGACTTTTACAAAAAAAAAATTATGAGGGTCGGCATACAGTAAAAACAATTAAAAGAAAAAGGTTAAACGGCCCCAACACCACATGGCTAAGGCATTGTAACTCAGTCAATGCTTATCCAATTAAGTTGATTCTTGAGTCTAACTTGTAGCCAAGACTAGACAAATAATAATATGAAGAAAAAAATCAGTTCGTTTCGAGCTTTTTTTCGAAAAAGTTATGAGGATCAGAATATTAACATATATGGTACCAATATTAGTACAGATTTTTACCCGGAACAGCACCAATAACCAAATTTGAGAATTTATTCTTGCAAGTACTTAGCCGAATGAACATATCCAATATTGCTTCATAACCGGTACTAGTTCGATTCTGTACCCCTAGAAGGAGCAGATCCAAGATTAATCCAACAAGCCTTTTCGGCAGAATTAATAGACAATATCTAATCAAGCTGCAATTTGCAAGAACTAAAATTCTTCCCAACCAGTATGATAGAAACCATTAAGAATTTCCGAAAGAAAGTTCTCAAAGAAAAAGATGATCTAATTTACATCAGAGTCATCTCCTCTCTTCCAGAATGGATTCAAGAAGCAACACTTGCCCCTTATCACTATCTAGAAATTGGCTTAGCAAAAGCTAAAAAAACATCGAACAATCTCGACCCACGGAAGGCAAAGATCTCCCATTCGAAGAAATCCTTCATCAAAATCGTATCAACAGCCTTCGAAGAATTTCTAAAAAGATGATTGAGATAATCTCAGGATCAAAGAAAAAAGTTAATTATACAAATTCACACTGTATAATCACCAACTGAAGCTATGGCAACACCAGTAACGAAGACCTTGAACGAGCATCCAAATTCGGAGAACAGTTCATGAACAACAACTTTGATGCATCTACCACTACAAGACAAATCTTCTGTAAGCATGCAGAGTAGTTGTTTGAAGACCATCATTGCAACTACTGCAAAAGCAGTGATTCCACGACAAAGGAGGGTCCCTCCTCTGAAGATGACAAATCTTCATCATCTTAAAGAAAGATGCTTGATGCGGCCCAACCACTCAAGAAAATAATGCCTCCTATATTATTAAAAAAAGATGCTCCGACATCAAAAGGATGATAAAATGTTCGATCTAAAAGCAGCTAGCTTTTCCAACTGTCCGCAATAATATAATCGTAAGTGGATAGAAACGTCATGTTTGACGTAATAAGCAATTATCAGACCCGTTCAATGTGTTTATAAATTGAGAGTTATGTTTTCATTAAGGGACATCACAACAACGAGTCCAAGAAAAACACTCTCTATCCTGTAAATTTTCAAATTAATATCTTGTGAGTAAAATCTCCCTTAGAAGGGAGAAGATGTAAAATATTGTAAGAGTGCTCCCTTTTGGGGAACTCTTCTATCAATAAATCCATGTTTTGTTATACTTGAGTGTTCATACAAAAATAGAGTCATGAAACCTGTAAGTGACAGAGTGTCAGATTGATGATGGTCAATATTACCGCAGGCATGAAACCAACAGGGAAACCAATCACACAAACCAAAGGATGACACAGGTTGGCTTGAATAGTTTCTATTTATGTAAGTATAACACCCACTCCAAAACACTTGTTGATTAATGAGTTTTCTCTTTACAAATTTTGCATCTATTCCCTTCTCATTAAAAAACTCCGTACACTACTCAAACTGGTATCAGAGCCTTGTTAAAATTGGCATTACATTATGGTGACTATTGCTCAGGTATATGGTTCGGGATAAAGCCTTTTCAAATCTATTATCAAGAATAATTCAATGATTTCAAATAAGGAATACATATACTTCTAATCCAAAATCCCAAGTCAATCTCAAACTACAACACCTCACTCATCCTTAAGATGAGAATTAGTCTGTGTAAAACTGGCACAAAACACATTCTACGCCTATGTACTCCAAACGATAGGAGCATATACCCAACATGCATTCTCTACATGGCTAATCTCAAGTGCAAGTGACCTGTCTAGAATTCCATCATAGATTTATAAACCCCGAATCATACAAGCATAGACTAGCCCAAGCGTATGTATAATAACGCTTGGTCTAAAACGTTTGGACCATACAAATCTCAACCCATCCTAAGTGGATGCACAATTTCATGCTCAAATCATTTTCAAAATAATCAAAGAAATCCCCATTTGAATCAAAGCTCTTTCCAAAATTACTTTTCATGAATGTTGATTACCATAACATAGCTATAGGTTAGACTATAAGGAGTGCTTTGGAGATTCTTACGCATAATTCTCACCAAAGAGATGGTCACATTATCCAAACAACCTCTCATATGATTCTCACCAAGATTAAGAAATTATATGTAGTAGTAAGATAGTAGTGAGTGTAGAGAGGGAAAAAAACATGAGAGAGAGAGAGAGAGAGAGGAGATAGATTGTGAAGGATAGTAGCCTCACTCACGAAGCATCACATTTCAGAAGGTTGAGGGCGGTGCTTGGATGCAAGTCACGCATCACTTGGTAAGTATGAAAAATCTACACACTCCTTATTAGCCTTATCAAAGAGAAATAGCAATTTAAAATCATCAAGGTGTTATAAGAATATGAATTAATATTTACTTCTTTTATTTATTTCTATATTTTAGTTTATTTATTTATAGTAATAACCCATGCATGCTTAGATGCTCGAGCATCGATCTTCATAAGAATATTTTGCATCTTGTATGGTCATCTGCGTGGGTGATTAACAAAAAAAGTGTTTACTTTTCATATCGACTGGTCATAAAGAGTGAAACTTTATGGTAAATATGCACTAATACCTTTTCTTCTTATAATATGATAATATAGAAGTACCCAAAATACATAACTTAAGACATCATCACGACATAACCATATCTGTTCGACGCAAAATTAACTCTTATATTTTTAATAAAAGACCAAAATCATATCACGATTCAAAAATCCAAAACATCCCAAAAAACTCAAATCATTCAGATTTTGTCATTTTTACCATTCTTGAACACTAAATCAGGAGACACAAATTCTCTGAATTCGGAGATTATGGAGGAAAGGCTGTTTCTGACATTTTACTTTTAAATTCAACTCTCTTTGTTTACCTTGTTGAGCCGCTGTCCACCCACCTTGAAGCAAAACCACAAATATGAAAATACCCGTCAAAATTATTGTATCTTGAAAAGATTTTTCAGTTTCACAACCAGCCTCCATTCTTCATTCGACAACTCATCCTGTAAAAACACACAGATTAGTAAAAAAAAGAAAGTCAACAAATATCCTGTATGTGATAATGTGAAATTACTAATTATGAGAAAATTGAACATTTTAATTTATTTTTTTTTACATACCCGATAATTGGCTTTTAGTATATCGATGGAGTTCCTTGAGATATGGCTGACAAGTTCATCCTCCATTTCAAAATGCCTCCCGAACATTTTTTGTTGCTCTTCAGCATTGCTTCCAGTTATCTGCCAATTCAAATGTAAGATATTAAATTCTCATTTTTTTTAGAATTTTAATGAAATGTATAAGTATATATAACTTGAAAAAAAGAAAAAAGAAGCATACCTTGATAGCCACCTTTGATCCTTTTTTGGCGATATCAACTGGCTTGTGATTATTCTCAATGGAAGAAATCCGTCCAATATCAATAAATTCCCTTTGAGGAATACATATTGGAGTTCCAATCTGCACACACATAAACATTATTGCTTTTTCTACTTTGAAAAATCTACTCAACTATAGCAGAGCAACAGAAATTACCTTAGCAATCCCCTCAAGAACATCAACACCCAGAATAATGGGATCCTTCTTGTTGAAGACACAATTGGGCATGATTTTAAGAACGCACGG